CAAAAAAGGCAGTATACAATAATGGTAATGTGCCATACGAATTACATGTCAGAAAATCTACTATAGTATCGACTTTAGGGAAATTTGAACCTCTAAGTGTGCCAACTACAATTGCAAAACCCGTGGAGTTTTGCAATATTTTAAATTACTCCTCCATAGAGCGTATTGGTAAGATACAGTTTATGTTTTATATTATTATCATTTTCTCTTTACATTTTCTTATACAAAATATCTCAGAAATAGATGTTATATTTAAATTAAAAAGTAATTACATGTTTCTTTTAACTAATTAATTTTTTTAATGCCTATAATATTATATGAGCATTTATTACACTGATCTGATGTATGTTGTATAATAGTTATAAATAGTTATTATACATATAATAATTATTTAGAATTATTATACAGTATATTATATATTATACATACATATAATAGTTATTATACATATAAAAAACAAAAATTAAAAATATAATATAAAAATTTTACATTTACATTTAATATTACATGTGTATTTTATATAATTTTTATTTTTGTTTTCCTCTTTCTCTTATAAACTCAGGAATACATAACATATTTATTATACTACAAATTTATTTACGTATTTATTTACAAGTTTTTTACTGCACGTAAAGATATTGGTGAACATTTATTATACATGTCTAATTAAAATATAATACTTTTGCTTATATTAAAATATTTTTATTATTTTTGTCTTTATATGTTTTGTTAGAAAAAATTAAGATACTATCAATTCTAAAATCAAGAATAGAAAAACATTAACTAAAGTAACATCTCTAATTATAGCATTACAAGGATACATTAAAACCAATTTTGCGGAGATGCGTGAAAAGTATAGAATTATAGGATGCGGATCAATTACAGATGGAAAGTACAAATTAGAAGTACACATTACAAATTTTAATTATACAAATTACATTGATTTACAATTAACAAAAGGAAGTAAAGTTGAAGTAATTGGTTCAGTCTTCAGTACAAGTGCAGGTTAAAAATTTATATAACATTTTTCTGACAATAAATGTTAAAATTGTTTATAATCAACGTTATATATATGTATATGTACATACATATATACATATATTACACACACACATACACACGCACGCACGCACACACACACGCGCACGCACACACGCGCGCGCGCGCACACCC